GATTATTTTACAGACCTCCTTGCTACGTTTCTGGACTAGGGAACATTTCCGTTGTATTGCTGTCTATGGGAGGGTCAGACAGCGCTCAGATTCCATCAAAAATATCATAATTTGTGTTCCGAAGATGAACGAAGGTCTTACGGGTTTGAAACGACATGAGGGTGAGTAATTAATGACAGAATTTTCATTTTTGGCTGAACTAACCCTTTAAGTTTATGGACCTGTTGCTATGACAGCAAGTCCAGGATAAGCTTCGAAGAACCAAATAATCCAAGATCATGCCAAATCGTCAACAATCAAATCCTAAGTTAGCAACGTACGAAGAACGGGCCCCAGGTCTGTGCAGAAGCCAAATGATAAAGATGGCTCTGAAGACAACAAGATAATCAGTCTTTGCACCCCCTTCCTTCTGATCCAAACATTAGGAAAGACTGGATGAATTTCATTTTTAATGAAGTTCCAGAAGTGTCAGTAAGAACTTTGTCCTTTATTCACTTAATTTTACTGTGGATCGTTTACAAACAATGCACGATTTGACGAAGGATTTTCAAAAAGACTGAAACTGAAAGATGAATCTGTGCGACTATATTTGATCTGACAGTAATGTCGCAACACACAAGTGTGAGTAACTGTTTTTATTATGTGGTCACTAGTGCCTTGTCTGTTATTACAGATTGTTTGATATGTACTGAGTATTTATGCGTTTTTAACCTAAATAACAGCAGTGTCCATCTGTAAAGGATTTGGCTGTCAAACATACACAACTGTTAGCCAATCATAGCAGTGGGCGTTTACTTCCGAGTCTACAATCTGCCACACCTATTCAAACAGAGTGTTCCAATGAGGGGGTCAAAACAGGACAGAAAATAGCCTTTTACTTCTAAATTATGATGTTTTTCTAGGTAAAAATCTTGATCACATTATAAGTGGACCTCAGAGAACAGTACAAAATAATTAATTTAAAAAAAAGGCAGTTCATGGCCCCTTTAAAGATTCTTTGGCCATTTTCCTCATCATTGAATTCCCACATGTGCTGGTTCTCATATAAAACAAGTTATTATTCCTATCTGTTTTATACTGTATAATGTAATCATGATTTCCGATAAAATGTAACTTCTATTTGTTTGCAATAATTGGAAATGAATTGAAATGAATAATGCATACGTTTTATATATTTTTTACATAAGCTTTTAAATCAATCCCATCCCTTATTTCCTTAATTTCCTGATGTAACTTTAAGTCAACTTCAGGTTGGTCTAATAACAAGGTGCTATTGGAGGTATTACAACTTTAGAAGCAAATAACTTCTATACCAGTTTCATTGACCAATTTATTCTTTCTTTATTTTTTTTTTAAATAAAGAAATTGGTCAATGAAACTGGTATAGAAGTTATCTACTTATAGTTGCTATATATATATATATATATAAACATGGATTATCATATGTTTACTTCAGATTCCTTTAAAGAGTATTATAAAAGTATTATTTTTCCTGTTTATGCCCAAAATTGAGTGGACAACTTTTTCTAATATTTTAGACATAAGTGGAAGATTTGAAATGGGTCTGCAATTTGCCAATTTATTTGGATCTAGTTGCGGTTTCTTAATGAGAGGCTTAATAACTGCCATCTTAAACATTTTGGAACATGACCTAGAGATAGAGATAAATTAATAATATTGAGAAGAGGTTCTTCTGCTACAGGTAACAACTCTTTCAATAGTTTAGTGGGAATGGGATCTAGTAAGCATGTTGTTGGTTTACATGAAATGATTAGTTTATTTAGTTCTCCTTGTCCTATAGTTGTAAAGCACTGTAATCGTTTTTTAGGGGCAGTAACAGAGGCTGGATCATAAAAGTCAGTCAAAGGTTGTACATTTATAATTGTATTTCTAATAGTTTCGATTTTCTCTGTGAAGAAATTCATAGTCATTACTACTAAACTGTGATGAAATATTCAGTTCAGTTTATGTCTGTTTATTTGTTAGTCTAGCGACTGTATTAAATGGATACCTTGGATTGTTTTGGTTATTTTATGAGTTTGTGAAAATGTTCGGCCCTGGCTGCTTTTAGAGCCTTTTTGTAGCGGGATATGCTTTCTTTCCATGTGATTTTAAAGACCTCCTAAATTAGTTTGTTTCCATTTGCGTTCTAGGTTACGAGTATCTCTCTTGAGAGCCTGAGTATTCCTGTTGTACCATGGTGCAGTACTTTTCTCTCCAACCCTTTTTAATCTGATGGGTGGGACAATATCTAATGTATTAGAGAAGATTGTGCCCATACTGCTAGTCATTTCATCTAGTTCATTTGTGTTTTTGGGAACACTAAGCAGCTGAGACCGATCAGGCAGGTTATTTGTGAATCTATCTTTAGTGGTTGGGATAATTGTTCTACCTAGTCGAAAACGCGGAGCAATATGACAAATATCAGCGGTATTAAGTACACACGTTACAAAGTAGTGATCAGTAACATCATCACTTTGCTGTATCACGTCTATATCAGTAAGATTGGTTCCATGCGAAATAATTAAGTCTAGTGTATGATTAAGACGATGAGTGGGTCTAGTGACGTTTTGCTTGACCCCAAATGAGTTTTTATTATCAACGTGAATGTTAATATCTCTGACAATCAATGCTTTATCAACATTGACCAGTAGGTCTGAGAGAAAATCTGCAAACTCTTTTAGAAAATCAACATAGGGCCCTGGGGGTCTATCCACGGTAGCCAAAATGAAAGATGGCAGGGATTTTTTTTCTATCTGCAAGCATAATATTTAGCACAAGCACTTCAAATTAGTTAAACCTGTGTCCTGTTTTCTGAGTATCATTAAGAATATCTCTATATATCGTTGCGACACCACCACCACGGCCAATCAGATGGGGCTCATGCTTATAACAGTAGCCTGGAGGAGTAGACTCATTTAGACCAAAATATCTTTAGGTTTAAGCCAGGTTTCAGTAAGGCAGAGTGTATCAAAACTATAATCTGTGGTCATTTCGTTTATAATAACCGCCTTAGGTGTGAGTGACCTAATGTTTAGGAGCCCAAGCTTTAGAAATGATTTTTGTTCACTTAATTTGTGATTTTTCTGGTTTAATCACGATCAGATTTTTTCTAGATCCTATAGTAGATTTATTATTTGATCTCGCTATTCGGGGAACAGACACAGTCTCTATCGAATGGACCACGCATGCGCCCTATCGATGAAGTTGGTAGAACAACAAAGACTATAATTTGAGGTTTGACTAACTAGTCATACGGTGCATAGCGTCTTGGAGATGTTGTCCGACAGAAGATCAGGCCATCAGCACGGAAGAGCCTATGGTCGCTCCCAGAAAAGATTCCAATTATTAACAAAGAGCAGTTTCTGTTCATTACACCACGACATTAGCCTTTCATTTAGAGCAAATAATCTATTGAACCTTTCTTTTCCTCGTCGGTACGTTGGAAGTGGTCCAGTCTGCCGCAGCCTGATGTCGTTCACCCCCGCGTACAACACGACAGCTCCAATGCTTTCGTTGCCCTTCAGGATCGCGGGTACCTGCGCAGCAACATCGAGAACATGAGCACCAGGAAAACAATGAATGCGCACCTTACCTTTTGCTGAGGTAGCACAGACGTGCGGACAATCGAGTCACCGATGACAACAGCGCCGCATTCCATCTCGCGAAGAGGGGTGAAACGGTTCTGGGTGGAGATCTCGAAGACCAGGGACGGAGAAGGGGGAGAGGCCCTCGCCCGGGCCTGGCTCTCCCCTTCCGCTGCTAAAGCACCCAGGGTCTGTGGTGTCCCGGCGCCGGAGTGAAGGAGACCTGGGACGATCATGTCCTGGGTGCACGGGCACTGAGCAGAGAAACACGCAGTGTAGAGGTAGTAGGAGTATTAACATCATGCGGGAAGCTTTCCGCGAATTTGTGGGTGTCAGCGCAGGATGTCTCGAGTGCTGTTCTCCGCTCTCTTAGCTGGGCCTGCTTCTCCAGTAGATTGCGGATCTGCTTCTCCACAGCCTCCAGCTCCAACCGCACCATGTGCAGCTTGAATGTGCCCTCCCCTGCACTCAGAGGTAGACACACATCCCTAATATGGAAATCCCTAATATGGACAAAGGCATCCAGCTCACCCTGTAGCTGAAGAAAAGCTTTGACTGATTAAACATGAAGACAATAAACATACGACTACGGCGATATATGGTTTATCTGTGTTCTTAAAGCCATTTTATCTGTTGATAATTGACCAGCACAAATAGAAATTATAACAATGGGTAAATATGATAAAAGACAGACAATTTCATCCACATAAAGTCAATTGTTTTATGTATTACATCATCATAAAGTAAGTGTATAATCCAATGCTAATCAACATTTATTACAGTATAGAATATATTTTATGCCCCATTCTGTGATAAAAAGCCACATTGAGTCAGAAAATGTAGTTAGACTGATGTGGAGTAAAGTCATGTTATTAAATGTTCTCTTTTGTTGGACATCAGGTTTATAAACACTTCTCATTAGGTTTGGGAGGATGTTTGGGGTGCATTGCTCTCAAGTTATACCAAAAGTTTGGAGCGAGACATCTGTTAGGGGAAGAGCCACTCAAATATTTGCAGCAGCGGCCCCTCGGCCCTGCCCAAGTTTTTGCCCAAACGAGCCAACTGAACAGAAGTGCTCAATGTACATACTGTACACATACAGTAGGATTGCAAAACTTTCCTTGAGCATGTATGTCAAGCTGTGTGTGTGTGTGTGTGAGAGAGAGACGGGGTGTCCGCGGGTCCTTAAAAAGTCTTAAAATATCTTAAATTCGGATTCGATGGGTCTTAAGATATTTTAGCGGTAATGAGACCAAAAATATTTAAGTCTGACGGACCTAATGAATGTTTACAATCATTGGACAGACCGAAGATTTTTTTCTTCCCGCGGTAAATTACTGCGTCATCAGAGAGAATTGCAGTAAGTTAGCAGAATACAGAATACAAGCTCGCGCTGAGTCTCACTCTGTTTGTCTCGAGACTTCAGAACAAATCCACCACTCACTGTTCATTACGCATAATATTTTAATCAGATTTTGCTGGGCACATAATTTGTGCTGCTGCGACTTGCAAATGTCCCCTTTAATGCGAGTTACAGTATGCTGACAGATTATTTCTAGGTAGCCTAGTATTGTATGAATATTGTCCCATTGATAAATACAGTGCAAATAGTTCCGTCTCTTTGGATAAAAGTGAAGTGGAAATAAAAATCAATAATAGACTGAACCGTTCAATGATAATATGTCCGTAACATTTACCAGTCTCGTCTTTTAAGTCAAAAGGCACTAGGTAGGTGTGTGTGACATGAATAAATAATTGTGAAAATTAATAAAGTTAAATTCATGAAATAAATTAGAAATAAAGTTTAAATTTATGAATGTAAGCATGTGTAGCCAACTCAGTTCAAAAGAATAGAATGAGATAGAAAAGAGAGAAGGTAGAATCAGTGAACGCACCTTAATACTGACAAAAAAATAACAGGGTTAAGGGCAAAAACCCTGGAGAGAGAGAGAGAACACATTTCAGTTTATGAATGGTGTTTTGTGTTGTAAATGTTTGTTGCACATTTTGATGCCTTGATGACGGGGTAGGGGCTCCCACTTAAAGCACTGTGGCTCAAGGCCAGCTATTTTTGCCGTCATGTTGGATGATAGCATTCCGTCCAGAGCCAAACTGTTCCTAGTTTTGGTTTTATTTAAAACCATCATGGAGAACACTCTCTCTGCATCTTCTTTTGAGTGGGGAAGCCACAGTGCTTTAAGTGGGAGCCCCCGACCCCTTTCATCAAGGCATCAAAACGTGCAACAAAAAAAAACAAAACAAAAAAAAAACATAAGCTGAAATGTGTACTCTGTCTTGCACACACACACAGACAGTTTGACATACATGCTCAGGGCAAGTTCTGCAATCCTACTATGTGTACAGTATGTGGTCCTACATATAACCAAAATCCCTTTTATAACACTGCTGTTCAGTTGTTTTTTTGGGGGGGAAACAATAGGAAGAATTTGCCTTTTTTCAGATTTTTTCCTTTGTTCTTTAGCTTGCATAATATCTAACTTTAACAAAGTTGCAGATGCAGATTCATACACAATACATCCGTAATCTGTGACCGATCGCATGAGACCAATATGCCCTTTAATGATTGTTTGTCTGCACCCCAATCTTGTCTTGTCCTCTCATTAAATGTAATACTTTACTACACTTCTTTATAATATAGCCTATATGGTCTTTCCAAGTTAGCTTATCATAAACCACATTCCAAATATTTATATTTAGATACCTTTTCTAATGTGGACCCATATAATTTAAGCTGCTTATTCTCTTTAATTTTTCTCCTAGTAAATATCTGATAAGTTTTGGATATAGAAAATCTGAACCCCCCTCCCATTCTAAAGATCTTCTTTCCAATATCTCAATTGCTTCTTGAATTCTATACATAATAAAATATATATTTCTTCCTCTTTTCTTTTTGACCACATTTAAATTCTTTCTGCACATTTTTTCAAAACATCAGTGCAGAAAATATACAAAAACGGCCACATATTTGACATATACACTGTACATATATATATAATGCCTAGGGGGGGAGAAAAGATGTCTCGCTTCAACATGTCTAAGACCAATGCAGTGTTTTTCCCATAGATGGCAGCATTTATCAACATTTAAGGCATCAAACAAAAGGTCTCTGCCTAGAATGGACACAGGTCTATTTTAGGAATCATAGCTTTTTTAAAAAAAATTTTATCGATTTATTAGAGCAGACAAATCTACTACTAATTCTATTGATGAGGTGAATCATTATGGAACAGTCATGCCTTCCACCTAATTGTGACTCAGACATCTGTGGTAAGGAGCACCAGACACCCCACAGACTAAATGATACACAATGTCACCCTGATGCTCTTTGACACGGGTACCCACAGCATTGATCAGGGAGCTGAACGATTCCCATGGTGTTCCACAAGGATACCATTTCCTAGGAAAAACAAGCTGAAATCAATCTCTGTCAGCTGTTGGCCTGACAAGGTCAATAAAAGATAAATCCACCATATGAGATAATCTGGTCTAGACATTATTGCTTCCATGACCATGTATTTCAGTTGACAGAGTTTCAGTTCAAAAAGGTACATGCAGCTGCAAGAAGTTATTAGTCCTCATCAAAAGAAGAATTTTAGATCACTTGTGAGGTGTTGTTCTGACTCCTCTGACTTTTCTTGTAGCCACCTTTACATTTCTCTTGAGCAGTTAGCTGATATCTGGTATCCAGACCAGTAGCCCAAGGTTAATATTGCCTAGTGTTAATCTCGTTTACCCAGCAGTTGTGTAACAGTGATTGAGAACATCTGATGCACCTATTTAAATAAATACATTCATGAACAGGGGTGTACTCGATTTTAGATCAGCAACACTTTGTCTGTGAGAAGTGTCAATCGAAACCTGTAAATTCCTGATTGGCAAATATATAAAATGTGAGACATACAGACCTCCTAAATTGACACTGCAGAAAAAAAAACATTTGCGTGTACATGAGAAAATTACAAATACATGAAACGGTAAAGGTGCAGTCACACTTACCTTTGTTCGGCAACATTTTGTGGTTCATAAAAAAATGGAATCTATGCAATCAGGAGTTCTGTTCTTTGCATGAGGGGAGAAAGTTCCCCATGCAGAGTTTTTTCGTGTTCAAGTTGGTCTCTTTATTTGCTGCAGTGACCAACAAAAATTAGTTACTGTGCGTCGCTACACTATTGACAATAAACAATGGACCTCTTTTGCTCATGAAATTTCACTGACATTTTGTTAATGTGACCACATTTTAACACATGCGGATGTGAACGATTTCATGAGCGAACTGAAATCTTTCTTGTTTGTACCAGAGTTTTCGCATATAAAGGTGACTCTTGCATTCACCAATATTTTCTTGTGCACATGTGAAAGACTCAAAGTTTTTCTTTTTTTTTTTTACAGATGCTACTCTAAATACTTAATAGTAACACTTAATACTTGAATAAATAAACAAAAAACTAAATGAAAGTGATTTTACTCCATTGTTGGAATACAATTTGTACTTTACATTCCATTATTTATACAAAAGAACATGACTGGCTCATGTTTATAATGACGATACAACTTTAGTATTTGTTCCTAAAATAGAACTACAAAACATATCTCTTATATCTGGCAGGATGGTATCTGTGCATGACAGTTGGTCAAAGACTTTTCTCTCTGAGCTCTGGATGGGTTGATTTCCACTATAGCCTGTAGTCAACACTGAACTAGCATGGACAATGGAGTCTGATCAACATAGGGAGGTGAAGGCACTATTGTGCCAGCTCCCCCTCAGGGTGCATTATTAGGTCAAGCCAGGCCGCAACTCTTGAGCATTATTTTGCACTATGGAAAATATTGACAGGAAGCTGTGGCTTGCACAATTGATTTAAATTTAAGGAGGGAGGGAGCGACTAGGCTGCCATCCTATCAGGGTGATTAATTAAAAAGAAAACGTTTTCTAGCACGGCTGGCTGATTCGCACTGCAGGGTGGAACAGCGTGGATTAGAAAAAGGGAAAGAGAGAGGGAGGGGTGCATTAGATTCGGGATAGCGAACAGGCCTGACGCTGGACATGCGCTTTTAGCTGCAAGGGAAAACGGATGAAAAACATTAGTCGTTCGTGTGCTGCCTAGTTTTGACAGCTTCTGCTCCAGGCTCCTGGATTTCTGACCCATTACTGCAGCCCTGTGTGGCATCTAGTTGGTGCATTATGTTCCATGTCATTTCCCATTTGTCTCAATGTGGCTGATGTCTATTGAGAAAGCCAGTTCTGCTCCAGACGTTTCATACCTCAGTCCACTCAGCCAACGATAAAAATGTATGGATCATCCACAATGTTGTTCCTTTTATCATGTGCATTCAGTTGATTTGACAAACTGACCAGATGGGACAGTCTACAGTGTAGTGATGGGTTGAATGTACAAGGCCAGTGTTTTTTTACAGTTACTTATGGGCTTAGAATTTAACAGGAAGCCCATGTGCCTGCAGACTACTTTATAAGCACAAAACAGGTTGTGTTTCAGAATATTTCTATTGCTTTAAACAGTCTAACATCTACAGTTTCGTTGAGATTGCACAGTAGGCTGGTCCTGTTAGCTTGGAACTGATGATCAATGACAATTTGCTAACATTTTCTTTGAAAAACGGATTTGGTTTTAAATTGCAGCAACTGAAGTAAACAGCATCTAAGTACATTAGAATATCACTAGCTGATCTCTAGAAAGGTCAATGTATTGGGGGCCTATTGATCTTGACGAGTGACAAAACACTGTGTGATAAGCATCATTTTGAGGTTCCATTAAATAATCAATGTAGTAAAGACTTTTTTCTCTTTTTTGGCACATGCCCTGTGGACTTCAAAAGGTCAGTATTTGTTAGTTCATTGGCAATGTGGTTAATCAATCAATACAACTCTTGGCTGGGATCCGCCGTGTAATGATGACAGGAGCACATATTGTTAAATCTTATTTCTGATGAAGAAATCATC